AGAGATGGAAATTTCATGGGTCTTCCTGACCAATGAAACTTACTAGCAAAATTCAAAGACCAATCTTAATTTTCCTGCGAACAAAATTAAATAATCAAAGTGAGAAACGGTAATGCTGATAAATTCTAAAGTTTATATTTAGGCGATAAAACGAAATTTCAAGAGATGGAAATTTCATGGGTCCTCCTGACCAACGAAACTTACTAGCAAAATTCAAAGACCAATCTTTTCCTGCAAACAAAATTAAATAATCAGGGTGAGAAACAGCTCACCAATTCACCACAAAAATGCAGCTGATGCATTGAGTGACGGACTAATGATTTTTCCTCCAATGCAATGCAACCCAATCCTAAATAACTTCTAATGGAAAGCTCGAATTGAAGTCTTTAAATTGTCATACTATACACGCTTGTTACTATTTGTAAGAAGTTTAGATTTTAAGATGATGCTTAAAAATAGTAAAAGTCCAGTCTCCTTATGCTATATTATTTCCTTAAGGAAACTGTACTGTTTATACGCCAACTTAAGGTTTGTACTTCTAATATTTTCTTGGAAAAGTTGGGAAGACTGAAAGAGGAATACCTTGGAGTCAATTCAAACTTTTTGGGGTCTTTCAATTTTTTTTTTTTAACATTATCATGGACTATCAAGGTTGAGAAGAAATAAAGAAGAGTTGGGATAACTCTTTTTTCTTTTTTTAATTTATTTTTATTTGATTTAATATTTAAATTTAAATTTTTTAATTTAAAATTTTAAAATTTTAATCAATTAAATTATCTCTTAAATCAGAGCCCATCGGTGATATACGAAGAGTTCAAAGTTTAAACTTGTGCATCTCTTAATCTCTTTCCTCCGAAGATTGAATCATTTTTGTCTTGTTAGATAAAACAAATAGGTAAAAAACATGAAATCCCTTGTTGAGTAACTAATCAAATCAGACAAAGTTCAACCCCTTTTTGTCTCTCTGATTTGGTCAACAACAAATATGTTTTCCAGCTTCCTATTTTGGTTCATATTTAAGAATATTGATTGACAAGGTATTTCTTCTATGGGGTCGAACAAATCAGAGATGATTCTAGTCAAACTTGGCAGAACTCGCAGGACTCCTAATTATCATTCTATTATTC